CCTCAGAAGAGGTAATACAGAAAAGGAGGGACAGGCAGTGTCTGTAGAGATAAAGCCTGGCCCACAATTTGGAGGCCACAAACCTCAGATCCAGGAGGGTCTTAATTCCATTGAAGAGAAGAGACGCCATGACCCCAACAACTGTAATAAAGGAAGACGCTTGATTTGGATCTTGGTTACCATACTAGAGGGTAGTTCATGATCCTCATGGTGTGAAGCAGATAGACAAGAAAGAGGGGAGGAAGGGGGAGAGGAAGGGGATAGGAGAAGGAGGGAAGGAGGGAGAGAGAAAGAGAGAGAGAGACTGGGCCTGGTGTGGGATTTTGAAACATCAAAGACGACCATTGGTGACACACCTTCTCCAACAAGGCCACTTTCGCTCCCACTACTCCAATGCCCCTAGTCCTCTTCAGACAGTTCCACTAACCGGAGGTCAAGAGTTAAAACATATGAGCCTGCAGGGGGCATTCTCATTCCAACCACCACATTCTACTCCCTGGCAGCCGTCGGTTTGTAGCCATATCACAATGCAAAATGCAGTTAGTCCTACTTCAAAAGTGCACAGTCTTCCACAGTCTCAACCCTGCTTCAAAGTCCAACGCCCTCTTCTGAAACTCAAGGCAGTCTCGTAACTCTAAACCCCTGGAAAATAAAAAACAAAAAGTAAAGCAGATTCTATACTTTCAACATTCAATGGCCATTCCAAAATTACCATTCAATTACCCTTCCAAAAGGGAGTGAAGGGAGCATAGTGAGGAGCCTTCCTCAGCTGTATGGAGATCCATTTTTTCTTCCGAAGGACCCCTTAGGGGTGGGGTCTCCTCAGGGCTGTAGACCTGGACACCGAAACTCCACTCCTGCAGTTAACTTCACCAGCTCCATAGACTTCTGACTTCTTTGGTCTCATAGTATGGGAAATATGAAAGGAGTTTGGCCATTAAACTGACCCTCAGGACTGAAGCAAACCCTCTGGAACTGTGAGCCTCAAAATAAACACTTTCTTTGATAATTTGCCTTAGTCGGGTTCTAGAATAGCATTGAAGGAGTTAGGAGGGGGCTGGCAGGAGGCTAATGAAAACTCATTACAATTTCCTTCCTTCATTCTTTTTCTTTTTTTGATGTGGAAGAGAGGTGTGTGTTATTTATTTCTATGCTTACATGGATATGTACGTGTGTGCATTTGGGTGGTCCTTGAGTATATAAAAAAAGCAAGCTGATCAAGCCACAAAAACAAGACAGTAAGCAATTTCTGAATCCAGGTTCCTGCCTTGGGTTCCTGTCCTGATTTCCCTTCATGATGGACTAAACCTATACATTGAAAGAAGGGTCATGGAATTTATCACAGCAAGTAGACACCTAATTAGGACAAAAGAGGATGGCAGTTCCAGTTTCTGTGCATCTTAAAGGTCATACTATTTTACTAACTGTCAAGACACTTTGTTATCAGGGTAACTAACCCTAATAAAGCCCGATTTCCTAGGTAAGTATCACTGAGCTTTATTTCCAGTATCACTAATGGTATGATTATTAATCACGATGATAAAAATACGAAAACCAATAAAGCTGATAAAAAAATAAAGCTAAGCCATAAAGCCAAGACACAAAGTTTTAAAATAAAAATATTTATATACTTATCAAATTAGGCTGGGGCAAAGCTGTAGAAAATGACAGATACACAGACAAACAAAATAGAACAAATCGGCCAGAAATGAATCCTTCTATATATAGTCAAATGATTTTTTTTTTTTTTTTTATCAGAAGGGCATGTCCAGTCAATAGGGAGAGGACAGTGCTTTCAACACATGGTGGTAGAAAAACCAGATATCCTCATGCTCCAGAATGAAGCAATCTGTTCGGCTTACACAATCGAGAAATCAACCCAAAATGCATAAATGACCTAAAAGTAAGAGGAAACACCATAAAACTCTGACAGGGAAGCAGTAAGAAGTGTTCACAAGTGGATTGCAATGGTTTCTCTGACGTCACAGCAAAAGTAAGGTACTCAATGATAAAAGAAAAAGCTTGAGCTTCATTAAAATCAATTTCTGTACCTTGAATGCTGCAACTGACTAAATTGGAATACTTGAACACAGAAGACTAAAATATACCAAGGATCTGTTTGGTGCTGGGTGGTTTCCTGTAATTCCAGCATGAGGGCTGAGGTGGTGGCGCCCAGAGCAAGCCAGGTAGCAAAACTAGACAAAACAGCTCCAGGTTTAGCAAGAGACCTCCAATCCACATGGTAGAGAATGAGGGTGGAAGACACCCGAAGGCAGTCCGGGACTTTCACACGTGTGCAAACACACATACTTATACATGCACATGACACAAACAAATGCACATGTGCAAAAAGATGGTAAGTTCGCGAAGAGTGACCAGACCAATAAACTCGTGAGCTTCCTGATGGGATGTGCTAGTGACTCTAAGGAAGTTTGAGAAAGCCCTAAGGACTCATATAATTTTACATAAAATTACACACAATACAGAGACAGAGACAGAGACACACACGCATATATGGGCATTTGTGTGCTCTGAGTATAAGTAGATGCTATATTTTATTTTTTTATGATTTCTGGTTTGTTTGTTTTCAATACATTCCAAGCACAGTTTCCCCTCCCCCCACTCCTCCAAGTCCTGCTCCCTCACATTTCCCCACCAGGTCCACTCCTCCCCCAGTTTCCCTTCAGAGAAGATCAGGCCTCTCAGGGATGTCAACTGAACATGGCATAGCAAGATACAGAAAACTACCCAGAAACCTTTATGTCAAGACTGGGCCAGGTGACCCAAGAGGAGGAAAAGGATCCTAAGAGCAGATGAAAGAGTCTGAGACACCTCTACTCCCACTGTTAGGAGTCCCACAAAAACACCAAGCTAACTACCATATGTATGTGCAGAGGACCTGTGCACACCCATGCAGGCTCTGTGATGGCTGCTTCAGTTTCTGTGAGCCCCTACGAGCCTTGACAAGTTGCTGTCTGTGGGCCACATTCTCCTGGTGTCCTCTGCTCCCTACTATTCCTCCTCCCCCTCTTCCATGGGGTTCCCAAGCTCCAAGAGGAGGGATCGGATGAAGATCTCCAATTTGAGCTCTCTCTCCAACCCCGCCAGCCTTCCTCAGCTGTATGGAGATCCATTTTTTCTTCCGAAGGACCCCTTAGGGGTGGGGTCTCCTCAGGGCTGTAGACCTGGACACCGAAACTCCACTCCTGCAGTTAACTTCACCAGCTCCATAGACTTCTGACTTCTTTGGTCTCATAGTGTGGGAAATATGAAAGGAGTTTGGCCATTAAACTGACCCTCAGGACAGTCACATAACCAGAGAACTAGTGGCAGAAGAGAAAAGAGAAAACATAGTAACAGACACAGTGCAAATGTAGCAGAAGGTTTGAGAGACCCCCTCTGCCATTAAAGTGCCTGCCACACAGACATGAGGTTCTGACTTTGAATCTCCAGCACCCACATAAAATCCAGGTGCTACAAGTGCCACAGTCTCTAACCCCGTGTGTGTGTGTGTGTGTGTGTGTGTGTGTGTGTGTGTAGGGGGTGTTGGGCAAGAGGATGATCCCTGGTCAATGAGACCAACCAGACCAACTAAATGTGTGAGCTCCTGTCCAGTGAGAGATCCTGTCCCAAAACAATAAAAATGTACAGTCGTTGGGGAAGCCACTCAACCTTTGACCTCCATGGACATATGCAACTCTTGAGCATGTGCACACATCCACAAGAAGGCACACACACCTCGTGCTCGCGAACTCACTTGTGTGTGCACACACACACACACACACACACACACACACACACACACACTGTGGCTAAGTCAGTCACTGGGTAGAAAGAAGATTCAGCTGTGCAGCTCATCTAGAAGGGGAGGGTCGTTCTGTCTGGCAGAGCTCATCAGGGAGTCCTTCTCGACTCTGTTGACTAATTATGGATTGTGATTGCACACTAAAGTGCTCCAGACCAAAGGGTTGGAAACACCTTGAGTGCTGGGGGTTTTCGGATGTAGGACAGAAAGGGAGCCTTCTGGCTCAAGGAAAGGCGTGGCCCTTGTCAGTCACGGGGTCCCTCCAAATTCCCTGGTCCTCAGCTTAATCCTAATTGGCCCCTCTGCACTGTTCTTTCGGCTTGCGCTCACTCACCCCTGGGGCGGCTAGCCCCCTGTTGAGATCAGCCTTCCACAAACAGAAGCAATTGCGCTCCCCACCCTTCGTTCCGCTGGGGCGGGCCACAAGACCACTTAAACCGCAGCGGAGTTTCTTTATCCCCGCTCGCCAACTCGTCCCTGGACACTGGACCCAGCCTGCGGACCCCTGTCCTCAGTTCTGAGGGAGGGACTTCTCATAGGGCTTCTGCTTCGTCTTCAAGACTGCGGCAGCGGACAGCACCAGCAGACCACACAGTAAGAGCGTGGAAGGGCAACGCTTCTTTTACGGTCGTACACAATGTAATCAGGTCCAAGAAGGGGACAGAAGGAAGATTCTGGAATACCCCCACTTTGCCTCTTCCGCACTGGCTTGTCCTTTTTTTCCCAAGCCCTAGCATCCTGAATCCTGAGTAGGACTGCTAGACAGGCTGCCTGTGACAACCTCTTTGGAGAGAGCCGGGAGTCAGAGGGCCCTGGACCTCCAGGGTGCAGGGGGGCGGGGCACCCACACCTGTAGTCTCCGAGTCTGTTCGGTCGGCCCCTACTCCACCCCCCGGACTGGGGACTACAGGGCTTTAGGAATGCAAAACCAACAGCATTATGGGAGCAGCTAGGTAGGCAGAGGGAGAGAGCTAGAAAGAAGAACAAAGCCAGCAAGCTGAGCGATTCTGGGTGGCGGCGGCGCAGTGGCGGCTGAGTCCCCTCGCACTTCTCCGCTGGTCGCCGGCGTCCTCCGGTCCCCGCCCTCCCCGAGCCGAGCCGGGACTGGCAGTGCGCGCGGGTGCCCGGAGGCCCGCCCCCAGCGGCGGCGCGGAGCCTGGAGCTGGCCGTGGTGCTGACGCGAGGCTCGGGCGCGCACTCGCTGCCTGGCTCGGGCGCAGCCGCGCCCTGCGACACTCCCCGGCCCCAGCGGTAAGTGGCTGAGGCCCCGTGAGGCTGCGTCGGTTCCTGCCTCGCTGGTCCTCATCGGGAGCTGGGGGCGGAGGTGGGGGGAGGACCAGGGAATATTTGAGCGCGCCTTCTGCGATGGGCAGCAGAGGGAAGGGGCCCAAGATGGGCACTCCCTCCACTCCGCGGCGCCCAGAGAAGATGCCTGGGGCCTGGGGGCTGAGCGCGGTGCCTGGGTTAGGTTTGGGTTTGAGAACGGGAGAAACCCTGTCACTGCGGACGAAGGGTCTGGGGAAGAAAGAGTAAGATAATAGTGTCCACTTGGCAGCGGCTCCCTCGAAGGAGCCCGGACCTCTACCCAGAGGGCCCATTGTCTCTCCAGTGTGGAAGTGGGTGGATCTCACCGCAGATTCTATTTCTGCTTTATTACCCACCCCGCCCCCACCCCAGAACAGGAGAGCTTTTCCACCTCACTTGGGCCTGTAGCGTACCAGCAACAAGGCATACCGCCACAGAGACAAACCACCGCCCCCTAGCCGCCACTACCCCATTCCAACCCCGGTGAAGTCTCTGGGCAATGTACCTCATCTAGGCCTGCTCCTCTTTAAACCCTATGTAGTTCACTGCCGGGATACAGGGTGAGGGTGGGGGCTGGGGGAAGACAGGGGAAGGTATTTCAAATGCCAAAACTCCTGGTCATGTAGTCACTTAGGGATTTGTTTTAATTTCGCCCTATGAGATCATTTTCAGACTTAAAAAGGGAAAGAAAGGAACAGGATTACGTTTCAATGGGAAAAGACAATCCTAGACAGTTGATCTAAAATTAGTCATTACGTGGAAAAAAGGCTAGAGGGGTCTTTTCGTGAAATACTCATTTTGCAGTCAGTTCTTGTCCGGCTGTGCTGAGCATCAGAAGCAGCCATAAACACCTCTGTGATCGCCTTTCTGCTGGCCTCTGGTGTAGCTTCTAATTCACCCTCCTCCTGGCCCCTTCTCTTGTCCCAGTTTTCCATTTTCACCTGTAGCTTCTCACAGCTCCTTCTTGGGACCTCAGGTCACATATGGTCTCTGACTGACTAGTGTCCTGGCCTGTTCCCGTAGCTGCGGCCCCTTTCCCTTGTCCCTGGGGCCTTTTGCAGGGTGTGTCCACTGTCTAGAATATGCTCCCTGTATCGTTTGACTGAATGTTGTCTAGATTTGCATGTAAACATCACAGCCCTGACACAGAGCTGATTAAATCAAACAGGATGTGTGGGTTCTGGTCTAATGGGCTGTGAAGGTTCATCTTCCAGGTGAGAGGCTTAGCCTTAGCTTGCTTGGGGCCCATCTTAGAAAACCACTAGGACAAAGTGCATTTGTCGAATTTAAATTCCCAGACTAGCATCCATTTTAGGAAACCAAAAAACATGAAATTTCGTCAAATGAAATATATGGTCAAGGTGTCCCAGACATCTGAAATACTTCATTTTAAATAAGCAACACCGTGCTTAACTGACAACTAGAGCTGAAGATCTTAGCCTTAAAAGACTTTCCTTGGAGACTGGGGAGAAAACTCGGTCAGTCAACCTGCGGTGGGAGCTCCTGAGACGGCTCAGTGCGCTGAGAGCGCTCATCGCCAAGCCTGGCGGCCTGAGTTAGAATCCTGGGGCCCACACAGTGGAAGGAGGAATCAGACTGTTGCAAGTTATCCTCTGAGCTCCTCTCATGCATCAAGCAGGGTACCTTGATCTACGTACACACGCACACACGCACACACACACACACACACACACATCTCTGCAATAGAGTATGCAGTTGTCTGCCACAGCTGAAGTGCTGGCTTCGGAAACCTTTAAATCTTGTTCTAGAGCAATACCAAGCACTAGAATAAAACATCCACGGTGGCCAAGCTCTGCAGCTCACCAGCGAGGAGCCACCTGCTTCCCTTGGAAAGAGAGATGGAGCTGAAGCATATGTTGGGGCAGGACTTGCCATGAGTCTCCACTGACAGGCTGTTAGCCACAGGGCTGTAAAACAGAGCCTGCATTTTCTTTCTTCATTATTTATTTATTTATTTATTTATTTTTGACCGAGAACCTACATACATTTAGCCTCTGCCCCCAGGCAGTGCTGGTTTCAGTAAATCTCATCTCTCTGCTTCTGAAAGCTGTTGTCACCTTAGAAGGTGACTGTCAGCCAGCCTCCCATCAGGCAGTGGGCTCACATTTCCAAAGAGACAGTAACAGGATACATTTCCAAAGAGACAGGCCGGATTAAACATTTTAACGTGAAAACGAACTGAAGTGACAGGTCTCTGGCCGGTATTGACGTCTCCGGTGTGTTGGGATGAAGTGTTTGCTACTTGTCCTCGCCGGATGCAGAGTGGCAAAAAGCTCAGCAGTCTTGGCCGGGCCACTATAATGGAGTCCAGTTCTTTGTATTGTCATACAGAAAGGGTCTCACTCTAAGTCCAGAATGGAATGAACTGATTTTAACTCAGTTGACCACTCCGAGGACCGGAAATGGGTAGTTTTCCTGAAAGGGAATCTCTGTCCAAATAGTTTAATTCTTACAGGAGAAAAATTTTACGTACAGTGAAATAATCTTTACTGTGGCCTGAAGAAACTATTTCTGGATTCAGTAACTAAAATATGCCACCCAAACACTGAAAAGCACAAGTATTAGGTAGCTCGCAAAGAACGTCTCCATTAAAATCACACTGCTTTCACTTTTAAGTTTTCTAAATTTGCATGAGTTACACCTGTGGCCTTCAGTCTTCGCCTTCGTTGTATTTTCCAAAATTCCTCATGAGAACACATTTATTAATCTATTTTTAGGTTTCTCTCAAACGGTAGTTTTAGTGGGATGTGGCAGTGTACAACCCATAATCCTAGTACTTCAGAGGCAGGAGTATGACAATATCAAGGCAAGCCTGGACTGCTAAGTGACGAGGGATTGAATGAAGGGAGGTAGAGATCTTGAGCCTTTGGTTCATGAGTTCAAGTCCCAGACTTGATAGGTCCGTCGATTTATTGGCTTTTCTGTAGCTGAATTTTAAAAAAGATTTAAAAAATTTAAATTATGTGCATGTATGAGTATGTGCCTGTGAGTGTAGGGACCAGAAGAGGCCAGAAGAAAGGGTCATACCCTCCCCTCCCACCATAGCTGGGAGTTATAGGTGACTGTGAACTCTGTAGTGTGGGTGCTGGGAACCATACTCTGGTCCTCTGGAAGAGCAACAAGTGCTCTTAACCAGCCCCTAAATTTATACTCCGTAAAGCGATGATTCCAGGACTTTGTAGTTTATAAGCTTATACGCCAAGCTTTCTGCTTGGTCGGCTGGCTGTTACCAATGCTCCACCTGAGTCTCCTGACACCAGTGCCTGCACAAGAAGCCCTCTGTCTCATGCATCTGAGTCCAACAGGCCTGCAAAGGAATGTATGGGATGGAATGGTTTGAGCAGAGATCTGCAGGTCCGCCGTGAGAAAGGCTTGGGTACTTGCCATGTCCCAACAAGCTGAGCAGCTACTGTGATGCCCGAGGCACTGTGCCATGCCATTTCCCAGTAGGCTGAAGAGCCACCATGGCACACGAGGCACTGTGCCCAAGAGCTGGTGTTCTGTGACCAGAGGAGCCAAGCCCAGGCTCTGTGGCTCTCCTGAGCATGCAGACTTCCTGTCTTGTACCTCAGCCAAGAGTCTCAGATGTCACTTGGCAAGCAGGAAGTGCTACCCACAGGTACAAGCAGGTGCCAGGAGCCCAGCCAGCTTGCCTGTGAGTTTCTGTGAGGCTGGCTTTGCCAGCAGAGCCGAGGCGGGCCCTCTGCCTACTCCAAGGTTGCATGCAGGGGCACTTCAGGGATTCTGGCTAGCCCTGACTGCCAGCTGAAGGCTTTCATAATGCCAGCTGGAGGCGACCAGGGAGGCATCTTTGGGGCTGCAAGTTTTCAGGGCTGAATATCTTCTGGCCTTGAGCCTGCTGCAGCACCCTCTCCTCACAGGCTGGGGCTGGGGTGAACAAATTCAAGAGATGACCGAAGAGCAGTCCAGAGAGTGAAAGGACAAAGCCTCTGTATTTCTAGCCAGACTGAGGCTGACCCTCAGGCCACAGGCAGAGAGAGCTGGGGTAGGGGAAGAGCCCAGAAGGTTCTCCAGTCATGCGCTGGCTCTGCCATTTCTTGCTGGGATCCTCTGGTTCTACACATTTACCCAAGGGCAGCGTGTTCTGAGTTAGATTCTTCTCCCTTAAGCCACAGTGCATGCCCCTCCAGCCTCCAGTGTCAGGGTTCCCTTCCTGCCCTCTTGTGGCTGCTCAATCCTGGTGCTTCTTCCTTTGGAAGACCCTATAACTCCACTTCCTGAACAGCACCCCCTTACTCCAGCCCTGTGCTCTGTGAACAGCCTCTTGATGTTCTGCTCTCCTCAACGAGGCCAGTTGCACCCAGCCTCCTTAATGTCCCTGCTTCCACACACTCACCAGAAGACACAAGGAACCTGGGATTCAGCCCAGGCAAAGCTCAGCTATGACAGAACAAACAAGTCACTAGCACTTTCACCACCAGACACCCCTCTGACTCCCCATGTCGACTGCAGCATCTTCCCCACAGAACTCAGCCTGGTCACCAGAAAGCATCTCTAGATGGACTCCAGGCAGTATCTGTCAGTGACAGCTGCCTGCCCTTCTGGGCCGTGATATCCTGTGGCATGTGCTGTGCCTTGCTTCCACGAGGTTCTCTCCTCTCCCGGCTCACGCTTTGCAAACCCTGTGAGATTCTTGGCCGCCTCCTGCTTAGAGCCGCTGTGCAGATCGAGTCTTGCCTCCTCCAGCCTGTGCCTGGTCCCCCCACGGGTGAGCCTACTTAATTGAGTCCTCCACTCCATACAGGCAGAAGGCCGCTGTGTTCCTCCCGAGGACAAGGTAGGCGTGGTTGTCGTGTGACTTTTCTTGGGGAGGCCTGAGCAAACATCTCTCTGTTCACCACAGTTAGAGCACCGAAGACAGACTCAATAAACGATTCCACTGTAGCCTGATTTAGTGAACCAGTGAGTACACTGGGGGTGACTTGACAACAGGGTAGGGAGGTAAGGGGGTGTTTTCAGGAGGGGCGGTGGCTGTTTGCACAACTTGCTGGTCATTGCTGTTACTGCTTATATAGCCTGGAGAGCGAGAGAGGGAGAGAGCGAGTGAGCGAGAGAGAGCCAGAGAGAACAAGAGTGAGAGGTCAAGAGAGAGCAAAGCTAGAGCAAGAGAGAGAGAGGCCCTTGTGAATCTTGTAAATTTCAGGATATTGTGGGTTTTGTTTACCTCCTGTGGCTGAAGGAGCCTCTCCTCACTTCCCAGGAGGCAGTGCTTCAGTTGGGAAGAAACAGCTTGGGAACAAATAGAGACGGTATTGTTGAATTACTGGGTCTGGGAATGGGAATCCGAGTTGAGCAGAGCTTGGAGAGCACACGGCAACTTGAAAATGCAGGGATGCAGCCATTTCCAGGCCTGAGGCACCTCTCAGTCTTGTGCTTACCATGTGTTTTTAGGCATGGGACCTAAAGGATCCGGGCCTCGGCTGTCTGTAAGAGCAGAGGCGAATGGCAACCTTGTGTCTCCTCTCCCATTGCCCTTTCCCTCTCCATGGAGAATCCAATGGGACTAGCCACCGGAGCCCACCCAGACCTGTGAGCAGGGTGGGCAGGCCTTTCAGAGCCCACAGGCGTTACAATTTTAGATATCACCCTCGTTACCTTCCTTGTTGCCAGAAGCAACTGAAGGGTGGGGCTGTTTTGGCTCACAGTTTGGAGGGATATATAAAAATCTATGGTGGTGGTGAAGGCCTGGTGGCAGGAGCAGGAGGCTTCGGTGGCCACATGGTATCCACAGTCAGTATGCAGCAGGGGTTGATGCCGCTCCTCAGCGCGCTGTCTCTCCATTTTCGTTCAGTCCGGGGCCTCTGCCCATGGCTCGTTCTTTTGAGTCAGCGTGTGCCTTCCCAGCTATAAGAGCGTCTTAGAGTCTAAGTCTTAAGAGCTGAGTCTAAGAGTCTAGTCTAAGAGCATCTCTCACAGACACACCAAAAGAAGCGTTTCCGTGAGGATTCTAAATCCAGCCGAGCTGACGGCAGGCAGTAGCCATGGTAGACAACCGAGTGCCCTCTGCTTTCCTCCACAGTGGCTAGAACGCTGGCAACATGGAGCTGAGGAGGGGAAAGACCTTCATCAAATCCAGCATGCAGATTTCCCACGAGAAACTCATAGACTCACCAGTCCCTGCACCAGCCAAGGAGGACCCAGGCCCCTGGTCACTCTCACTGGGAGGGCAGCAGAGATCCTATGGCGAGAAGAGCTCCCAAACTAGTCCCTGTGCCCAAGGGTATGGCCGCTGCTCCAACAAGGAGATACTGTCTGATCCTGAAGGGGATCCGGGGCCCCTCGGTGGAACCACCTTCAAGCTGGTGCGGAAAAGCAAGACCCATGACAGCGTTCCAGGGGCCGCGAAGGCAGCAGCCACTTCAGGGCAGATGGTGGGCAGCACAAGCTTCCCAGAGACCCCTGGGGGTCAGCGTATGATTGACTACCGCCACTTTGTGCCCCAGATGCCCTTCGTGCCAGCTGTGGCTAAGAGCCTCCCAAGGAAAAGGATTTCCCTGAAAAGGTCCAAGAAGTGCTTTCGAAACCTGTTTCACATCCGCAGAAGCAAGACTGAAAACCTGGCCTCACTGTCAGCCAAGGCTAAGAACCCGTCGTCCCCCGGGGTTCCACTGGGAGCTGCAGCACAAGGCAAACCCTTCCTCTCCTCGGGGGAGGGGCTGGGGTTGGACAGCCTCTGCCAGGACCTGTCTGACAGTGAGCTCCTGCCTGACTCACCCTTTGACCTCTGCAGCGCCCTGTGTGAGGATGTGGCCTCCCTCAAGAGCTTCGATTCGCTTACAGGTTGTGGGGAGATCTTTGCAGACGGGAGCTCGGTGCCATCTGTGGAGCTGAAAGAAGGCCCAGAGAGCCCAGCCCGTTCACCCCAGGCTCTGGACAGCAAGACTCCCCGTGGCCCCTCCCAGGGGAGTGTGGAACAACTCGCGTCGCCTGCCCAGAACGAAGCATCGGACTTCACCAAGTTCTGGGACAGCGTGAATCGCTCTGTGAAGCAGCAGCAGCGTGCCCTGCTAGGTCCGTGGTTGACGAGCTCCCAGGGGACAGACGCAGACCGGCCCAGGCTAGACACATCCGGGTTAGCGGAGCTACCCCTTTTCCCTTGCAGGGGTCCCCCCAGCGGCTCCAAAGCCAGCTCCGTAGACACGGGTACCCCCAAAAGCGAACAGCCGGAATCTGTGTCCACGAGCGATGAAGGCTACTACGACTCCTTCTCACCCGGCCTTGAGGAAGAGAAAAAGGAAGCTGCGAGTCCGGGCACGCCTGCAGCCGCCTTCCCCAGGGACAGCTACAGCGGGGACGCGCTCTACGAGCTCTTCTATGACCCCAGCGAGGCCCCCGTTGGCCCAGTCCTGGATGACGACCTGTGCGTGTCTGAGAGTGTCTCGGGGCCTGCCCTGGGCACCCCGCTGTCCATGTGCAGCTTCCACGTGGGAGCCGAGGAGAACCTGGCCCCAGCCCCAGGCCCTGACTTGCTCAGCCAGGGCTTCCTGCAGAGTACCTGGAAGGGCAAGGAGTGTCTGCTGAAACTGTGTGACACAGAACTTGCCATCACCATGGGCATTGTCAACTGGCTGCGCAGGACCCCACCTGCCCCCGCCTCTACACCCGCTCCTACCCCTGCCCTCGTCCTTAGGGAGCCCGCTGCCCCACCTGACCCCCACAGGGTCCTCAGGGGACCAGCGGTGACCCTGGAAGGCAGGGAAGATCAGGCCTTAGATATGGGCAAGGCGGTGGCATGCTTGCCACCCAGCAGGCAGGAGCCCCGGGCACACCCAGGAACCAAAGACGTTCTTGTTAGAGAGCACGAGGCCCAAGGGGAGTCTGCAAGGGTTGCTAATACCACATCTAACGATGGCCCGCTGGAAGAAGGGACACAAGGTCTCTCTGAGGGCTGGTCCTCCTCCGCAGCTACCGCGACAATGGGCATTTCCAGGAAATGCAAAACTGCGAACCCTGGCGCCTGGCCCAGCTCTCAGAAGGAACTGGGTACTCCTGGGGACCTGGGGCGTTCCCAAGGCCCCTTAAAACCAGGGCATGCGGGAAGCGCTCTTGACCCAGGGCGCATGCTTGTAGGCTGCGTGGCCCGCGTGGCAACGCTGCAGCTCTACCCAGACACCGGTTCTCCAGGACGGGATAGTAGGGGCAGCGGGCTCTTTTGGAAGCCTCAGGCCTGGGGTCCCAACGCTGTGCAAAAGAAGCCGACTAGCAGCAACCCCAGCGGGGCAGCTGTCTGTGGCCTCTCTTCCCCCATCAGCCCACAAGACCAGAGATGTCACGACCTTTTCCTGGACCTGGGCCAGCTCAAGTTGGAACCCTCCAGGCTAGGCAGCCAGGCCTGTGCCTCTGTGGACAGCCAGCCTCAGCAGCTTAGCCCCAGGTCTCTAGAGCAGGCACCACACAGGGGTTCAGTGGGGTCCTGAGCTGCTCTGTGCCCCTGATGCCCATTAAAGCCTCTGTGTGGCTATCACCCAGAAATCCTGGGCCTTTCCTTGGGCAGCAAACAGTGGTAAACTGCTCTTTCACATGTGCCACAAAACGTCGCCAGTGGCCTCCTGGCCTGACAAGGACTTCTTGTGGGTAATCAGAAGTAGGGGCTTACAAGCCAGCAGTGGCCCAGCCTAACCCACAGGACAGGCTCTTATTCTTCAGGAGCTCCATCTACACAACCTCATCCAGGAGAACCAAGGCCAGAATCTTCATCTTTGTTTTTCCTGCTGTGAGACTGAGTAGAGAAGGCAGGGCTCAGGCACACTGGGGTGGGGCTCAGGCATCTGGGGCTGATAGGGAGGTGGGGTGGGGTGGGGTTGGGGGATGAGATGAGTTTTACTCCCTGCCTGAGCCCAGGAGTAAAAACTGCTGGACTCTGTCCATGCTTAGCTGCCCCCTCATGCCATAGGACAGGCTGGTAGGTGAGAAGGCAGTTCACGTTGTACATAAAGACTGTGGTGGCCGAGCCTTCTGTTTGAGGTACACGAAAAGGATGAGGGCCACAAGGACCCACTGGCCTCATCCAAGCCACAGCACACTGCGGTGTCACAGTGCCTCTCTTTGGGAATGACAAGGACCGACCGGCTCTCTCTCAGCAAGAGTCTGGAGGCAGCCAGCATGGTGAATGTGCACAGCCTTGCAGAGGACAACCAGACCCTGCCGAGTCCACGCTGCCAGGTTCTGTCATGGGTCGTTCTGTGCAAGAGATCACTTCTCTCGACTTGTTCTCTGAGGCCTTGGGCGGGAGAGTGCCCGCTCTTCTTCCCACCTGTGCCAGTCTGCCTTGGAGCTGCAAAGGCCATGGCTTCTGCCCCCTTTCCCACTGTCAGCATTGTTGTCTCTTCCCCAAGGGAACCCACCGTCACCCCTAACCCAAAAGTAACATGTGTGTGGCACCCAGGCATTCAGAGTCATGACAGGACCTGGTGGCTGCTGTGAATATCTCTTCTGACCCAGCGTGAGGGCATGGGCGGAGAGCCCATCCTCACCATCAAGGATTTGACTCTACCTCAGCCAAAATAACATGGCAGCAATCAGAGGGTGAGGGTGTGACAGGTTGCTGTAAAATTTGTCACCAGGATCAGGCTTCGGGAGAGGCAGAGCTTCGTATAGATAGAGCTTCTGCGGAGAGGTGCAGGAATTCCAGGCAAGCACTGTGGGCCTATCTGTAGGACATCGCCCGAATGCCTGATGCTTCACTTCAGGCTAGAAAGTCTCTTGTGGCCACTGGCATCTCTGAGGTTGCCTGCCATGTGTGAGATGAGGGTGATGGATATGTAGGTTAAAAGCTGGCACCAATGTTGTGGCCATGTGCCCGGATGCAAGAAGCACATGACCTTTCACCTGGGAAGCCATGTCCCATCCTCCTAGGCCCCAGACTCCGTCATGACATTGTGATGACATCACAGCTTGCCTTGGAGTAAGTGACAAACAGAACATTCTGTGTGACCCCTGCAGCAGTCTGAGGTAAATCTTATGCTTGTTTTTAGACCTGGGGACTGGGTTCATCTTGTATGACCTTTCTGTGGACACACGCACACACTATCTGTGTGCAGATAGTGGGGTTCAGATCCCCTCCATACCCTACTACAAAAGCTTTGCTCTGAGGCGGGTCCTGGAACACTCCTCTGGTTTCGCTCAGCTGACACTCCCACAGCCTTTCTTCTTTCAGGCCACAGATGCCTGAGCACCCTCGGTGCCAGCTCCATGTCTTCTGGAAGGAGGCTGAGAGCTCGGCACCACCCTAGCTTGAGGCCGCCCTAGCCCCATCACAGCCCCGGGGCTTTGCACTGTACCTGACAGAGAAAGGGCTCAGTAAATGACGTTTTTGGAAAGACCGTAGTGTCGAGAAGTTGTGTGTTCTTTTCTGCTTTCTTGGTGACTCTGGACCTCACATTTAGAAACAGTTTTGAGGCTCAACAGGAACCTGGGGCTGGTGAGGTAGCTCAGTGGGTAGAGTGCCTGCCGCACAAAATGTGATGGCCTGAATCCACAGAAAAGCCATCATCCACGTAAAAGCCAGGGATCGTCCGTCTAAGCGTTAGTCATCCAGTTTGCTGTGGGACCTTGGCATGCTTTGGTTGCTGGGCCCTCTCCTGGCACATTGGGGACTTACTTTAGCTATCTGCCATGCTCTTCTTTTTATGGATTAGGGGTCCTTTCATACCAAGGACTGCACATCACAGATCCTTAAGGAATGTCTTAGAAACTGCTCCGTGAATAATTTCCAGAGAGTGTGAGACAACAGTTACCATGAGCTTTGGGGCCCAGAAGAAAGGATGTAGACAAGTAAAGTCCCCTCCTGAGCCCTAAGACCCCTTCCTCCAGACATGGGGACAACCAACCTCTGCCAAAAGAGGGTGGAAGTAGGTACATTTGCCCTCAAGAGTTCGTTGGAGACATGCAGTGAATGCTTGGAGAGCCCAGGAACAAAGGAAGTCAGAGGCTTCTGTTTCTCCAGCTCAGGAAGAAATAAAATAAAATAAAATAAATAAATAAAACGAGGGGATGAAAGGATGCTCAGTCTGTAAAGCTCATGACTTATAATGCAAGGTCCCAGGTTCAGTTCCCAGAACCCTTGTGAAAGTTCCAGGCGTGGTATGCGATTGTAATCCCACTGCAGAAGAGTAAGATAGGCAGATCTCGACGGCTCGTTCACCAGCCACCCAGCTTGATTAATGATCTCTGGGCCAACGAAAGACTCCGCCTCAAAGGAAATAGAGTATTCCCAAGAATGACACCTGTGGTTGTTCTCAGAACCACACACGTGCTCGTGCGTGCGTGCGTGCGTGTGTGTGTGTGCTCCAGTGCTCACATACACATATACACCTACACACACCCCCCTACACACCTCTACAGCCCTACCCACAGGCGCACACATAGGTGCATACACCCAGCTCTTATCATGGACACGTGAGCCATACTGTAATGTCGTCCAGTGTCATAGTGATGTCACATGGCAGCAAAGGCAGGTGCGACCGGGTGAGTATGCCATTGGATGGATGACTGCTGAAAAGCAGGGTCTCTACTGAACCCGTCACACCTGCTCCTGTGTTGCCCAGCTGCTCAGTGCCAAGGGAGCCCTTCTTTACTAAGGGCATTTGTGCTGCATGTGTGTGCTTGCTTACCCACGCTTTCCAGAGGAAACATTCATTGCTCATGGTTTCCGTGTGCTTCTTGGACAGATTAGGGGAATTGTATTACCGAAGGCTCCAGCAATAAAATAGCACAGAGCAGGCAGCTTAAACAACAAGAACTCATTGGTCCTCTATTCTGAGAGGCGGATGTCCAAGGTCTCTTTCCTTTGCTTGCAGATGGGCCTCTTGTTGTTGCCCTCAAAGGCCCTTCCTCCATGCGTGTGCTCCCGTGTACCTCCTTACTTAGATTATCTTTACAGAAGTTAGGAAACAGAGGCATCTGCTCCGCTTACATGTGAAGAATAAAGAAAGAGAGGAGGAGGATCTCATTTTCAGAAAGAGAATCTAAAAACGCAAAACTGCTATCAGTTCAAGGAGGAGGCAGGGAGAAAAACTATTTTCCCGAGGGTCCAGGAGTATTTACACCATTTCTAGGCAGAAGGAAGATGTTATAACCAGAACGCTGAGGTGATGGTCAGGAGGCTAATCATAGGCCGAGGGTGAGCGAATCCAATGTGCAAAGACAAGCTCGGTTGCTAATTTGGAGTGAGCTGGTGCTGTACTCCGACAGATGCATTTTCCTATGTCGGGTCTGAAGGACGTGAGCTCTAGGCCAAGGGGAAGGCAATGTAAATTCAATAACAATTGTCATGACCACCAGCTCCCTTGTTCTCTGTAGAATGTCATCCATCCAATCAACTCACCACAGAGTGTCAGCTGGGATAGTTCACTAGCACAGCAGGCTGGGAGAGATTTCAGCAAACAGGGTCCTGATATGGAGCCTGCCGCGAGCAGCCAGGGAAGGGGGGACGTGGTCAAAGATCTATGAAAGGCTGACACACTGCAGGCAAGTCCAGCCACAGACGCTGTTAGGCTCAGGCACGTGGCTGTCGACCTAGAGGAATACAAGAAAACCAAGCCAATCATGGAATCGTGGGAAAGGTAAAGAAATGTGGAATCTCCCAGGAACAAGCCCAGCCTCTCTCTCTCCCAGCCTCCACGGAATTTGACGTTGAACCAGAGGCCACGTTCCATATGGCTGTCATCTCCTGGCCAGATCCACAGTGGTCATAACAAATGAGTGAGTAGAGTATAACTCATCTGAGTTACTAATGGTCACTTCTTTTTTCCTTCTAAAAGGAACTCAGGGCCTAGGGATATGGCTTGGTCAGCCAAGTGATTGCTATGCTGACATAAGGACCTAAGTTCAACGCTCATGTGAAAAAGTCAGGCCTGGAAGTATTCTTGTCATCCCAACACTAGAGAGGAAGAGACAGGAGGACCCCAGAAGCTCAGATGAATCAGACACCTGACAATGACCTCTGGCCACACCCATACCAAAGGAGGTCCCAGTCTTCCTGTGGGCTACACCACATGATCTGGATCATAGCCACATCCCCCAGGACAAGCTTATCACCTGAAAGTCTGAACCTTGTCAATAGTAACTCTCTTTAAACTTCTGCTTCACTGTATTGCACCCCTGGATTGAGAACTTAAGGCCAACCCCAACTTTTCAGGATGGCTTTCAAGGCTAACCCACAGGCTCCTTCATGTTCAAAAAGTGTCTCAGTCTGAAATCAATGCCTTCATTTAAAGCCTACTCCTGATATCACTCCCAGGGCCTGTTTTATAACCATCTTGGCAGGAACGGGGACATTGTAAAGGGACGCTTGTGCCCTCCCTTTGACTGTTAGACAGTTGAAACGATGAACACCAAGAAATTGGAATCCCCTGACCAGGAATTTCATGATGGCAGAAGGAGAAGGCTCAAGCCTAGCGACAGCCAGCAGAGTGACTTGTCTTCTGGGAAAGAGATTTCACAGTTCCGACGGCTCCACAGACAGGTGGTCCTGATGGAACAATGGAAGCCCAGACAACAATGGGTCTGTGATGGCTGACCACACTTTGACCAGGACTGCCTACGCCCTTTGCGCTCTACTTAAACCTGTATTCAATGCGTTTCCTTTTCCTTCCTGCTTTCCACTATTAGTTCTTTATTTGATTGGCTTATTAGGTGTCCAAAGCACAGGTTCTGCCCCTAAGGACTCTGGGAACAGTCTCACAAGGCATTCTAGCTCCTGTAATCTGAACCATTGCACCTGGACAAGCTCTCTTCTCTATCAGTCTTCTTAGGGTCCCCCCTCTTTCTCTCTCTCTCTTTCTCTGCCTCCTCCCTTCTCAGCACCTCTGCTTCAAGACTCACGTGCTATGCCTTAGACCCTGGGTGAAGTCTCTCACAAGTCTTTTTGGCTCCACCAAAATGTGTTTCAAGCCTGTTGTTCATTGGTCTGCAGCCACTCAGTCAAGTTCTAGCCAGCCTCAGTTGCTCTGAATGCTCAGGTCTGGGCCAGCTGCCTCGGGATACTGAGGAGCTACTTAGGAGACATTGTCTGACCTCCAGGAATTGACATCAACAGAGGAAGCCAGATGAGCTGAGGAGCACTTGATTTAATAGACAGCTCAGTTTCCTTTTGGTGTGATTCACAAGCCTCACGTGGCTTTCATATTTTTAACTGGTTGGAAAAAATAAAACATTATTTCATGTCATACATGAAGTTGTAACCTTTGACTTTTGAGGTCTAGTTGATAAAATTTGATTGACACATAGATTCGGTGATTCACTGACAGCATGTATGAATGCGTTCTTGTTGCTATAACAGGGGAGTCTGGCAAAAGAGGCCGTATGTCCTAGAAAATCTAAAACATTTACTCTCTGGCACTTCACAGAAACAAACCCACTGATCCTAACACATAGGTTAAATCGAAACCCTGTGTACTAAGGAGGATGGCGAAGCTAGATGGACAAACTGCCAATGCTTTGCCGGGCACAGAAAAATGTCCAGAGATTACCTCCAGCTGAGGCTCATTCTGCCTGTGGCTTGTAGCTTAACTTTTTCTCTCTTAAACAACAACACAGCAGTCTTTCCTCTACCCATCCCACGGGCCTGTTCCTTCCCATTTACACTCCATGTCTTGTCCTAAACCTTTTGGGTTCTCTGCTTCAAACCTGACTCGAGCTGCAGTGGCAGTGGCATTTTGTTTAGAGCTGCTGGTAGCTTGTCACACCCTGCTCCCGTGATTGTTAATGTTGTCATATACACATATCTACACGGTAAGGTGCGCCTCAGCTACTAACAAATGGACCAAGTTGAAACAGTGCACAGCAAATGGATGTTGGATGTCTTAACTGAGGTGGGTGGGTGGATGGATGGATGGATGGATGGATGGATAGGTGGGTGACTGGATGAATCAATAGATGAAGAGACCAATGGATGTGTAGGTGGATTGGTGGATGGACAGATGTTATATGTAACAGAGAAATAAAAGCTGAATGCTTTTAATACACTCAAGAGAAACATAACTAGAGAAACCTGGTCAAATCCTCAGAGATAATTGATGGCATTTTGCTCACACATTTTTTTCCCCTCCCTTTCTTAATGCGGGGCATGACTTATTTGTTTTGTGGATGCCGAAAGCTTCTCTGAGCAGACCCCTCTGACTCCTGCGTCATCAGCTTGATGGATAATGAAAGCTGAATAATGATGATGTAGCATCAGGGTAACAGAGAAGATGTGGGAAGTAATTCGTGTCATAGTTACCTGCCCTTCTCTGCAGATACCCTGACCTACCTCAGCGTGGCACATCTGATTAATAAAGGGTAACTAGCAACATTCATTGCCATGGAAACCATCACAAAATGGAAAGGGCTGGTACAGAGGTAGCAAAGAGAAGCCCTGTAGATTCTGGATGGACACATCACAGCGAGAAACACAGAAACACACAGTTTGCTCAA